GTATCCTTAACAATTCTATTATTATCCTGATGTAAAACCATAGAAAAATCTCAATCTAGGTTTCCCATTATTGAAATTTGGTACAAAAAAAGATCAAAAGATTGCCATGTTGGTCCAGACATCTGAGTGAGCAGAAATAAATCAGAGGACTGGGAGAGAGAGAGAGCAAATCTTAACAGGAAAATGCATAAGGACTCACAGATGTAAACTCATGCTATTTATACTAAGCAGTTAGATGTTAACTGAGATTAATTATTTCTACCCCAATATTAAATATAGAAAAAAAATTGCTATAAAGCTAGATGAGAAATAGGTTAGAAATTTTGAAATCTGGGGTTTGTTTTATGTAGGATAGTTTTTGCAAACTTTTAACTCTTTTTAAATTTTTTTAAAAGATTCATTTGTTTATTTGAAAGAAGAGTTAGAGAAAGAGAGATCTTCCATCTACTGGTTCATTCACCAAATGGCTGCAACAGGTAGGGCTGTGCCAGGCCGAAGCCAGGAGCCTCCAACTCTGTCTGGGTCTCCCATGTGGGTGGCAAGGGCCCACGTACTTAGACCATCTTCTGCTGCTTTCCCAGATGCATTAGCAGGGAGCTGGGTTGGAAGAAGAATAGTCAGGACCGGAACTGGTACTTATATGGGATGCCAGTGTTATAGGCAGCAGCTTAATCCACTGCACCACATTTATGGCCCCAGAAATTTTTACTTTTATTTAAATTTTTAGTCCATAAAAGTCTGTATTGCTTAATAATTCCAAAATGGGTAAATATTATTTTTAAACAAGAAAAGATGGAGCAAAATTAAACTACAATAAAACTTCAGGACTCTTAAAATACCATAATGGTGAATCCTAAGACACATCCATTTGCCTTTTATAGCTCAGAATTTCTTGACTTTCAAGTTACTGAATTTACTAAAAACATAAAATGTGGGATGGTCTTATTTACACAGATGAAAAAAGATCTCATTCTCATGGCAAGGGAATCCGTGTAGAAAGCATTCAAAGGGGAGTTAGCTTGGTGCCCAGAATAATTATCATCAATGCCTGGGGAGAGTGGGAGGGGTCGAGAGTAGACGGCTGGACAATGAGAGAGGAATCTCAGATCTCAACTCAGGTTATGACATCAGATGCTTTTTCATAACACAATATTGTATAAACACCAAAACCAAACATTTTATTGCATGCACATGTATTATATCATTTTGAGGTTGTTTTTAATTATTATTAAAGGTTGTTTTTAACAAGTTTTTCTGCATTTAGATACACTATTTACTACATTCTGTTTCAGTTTTTATTTTCTATGTCACAGTATATAAACATTTTAGTATGAGTAATCACACTCCCAATGAGAACCAAAGATAGTATATAATAATATATAATAATCCAATGGAATACTACTCATTAGAGGTAGTACCAAATTCTGATTTATTTATTTACTTATTTATTTGAAAGTTATTTTCAATGACAGAGAGAGAGTTAATGACAGAAAGACCCTTTATCTGGTTTACTCCCCAAATGCCCACAACAGCCAGGTCTGGGCCACGCCAAGGTCAGGAGACAGGAACTCCATCAGGTCTTCCCCATGGGGGCAGGGGCTCAAGCACTTGGGCTGTTTTCCACTGCCTTCCTAGGCGGAAGCAGGCAGGACTCAAACCAGTACTCCAATGTGGGATGCCAGCATCACAAGTGGTGGTTTAACCTATTGCACCACAACGCCTGCCCCATGTTGCTACCCACTTTTGATGCTGATTTTTCTCATTTGGAAAATAAGTTTCTTCTAAGATTAAAATGTAGAAGGAGAAAAGAAAAGCTTGGTGTCATTCACAGTTACACGACAGATGAAGTTGGAGAAAGCAGTGATATAAATACAGCCGTTGAAAGTAAAAGCCATGTCCTATTGCATGGAAAATCACAGTCATTCCACAGGGAAAGATAGACATGTGAACTCTTATGGAAGAAAAAGCTATATACAGACACAAACTAAATAAATTGCTTATTCTTCTCTGTTTTAGGAGGAATTACAAGAAAAACCCAGAGGTTCTCAAGTCATATCATTTATTTCCCCTTTATTTCATAGAGAAAATAAGCACGGTTCTTTCTCTTGAGTGACTGTGCCACAGATGAGGAAGAACGTATATAGAGTTACCATGGGATTGGTGACCCTTGCCCAGGTCCAAAGTAACCTCTGACACACAGATTACCCAGTATCTCTATGCCACACGTAAATCTGTTATCAGAAATATCATTAAAATGTGAGATTAAATATCTCCAGCTGTTTCTCTGCATTTGTGAGAATACTGATTACAATGCAATTTTAATTATATGAAACAGAATGTTCTTTCATATATATGAACTTCCTCTTATGTTGTTAATGATAAGCAAAATGCTTAACTACCAAAAACTTTGCAGAAAATCAAAGTGCAGTGTGATACACACTCAGGGTAAGAGGATCAGCATTCTCTCGTTGGGTTAAGCTCCTGCTTCCTTCTGCTTATTACTGCTGCATAGTCTTTCCATGGTCAAATTCTGTAAACTTTTCAGAAGTTAGAGGTGGAAACATATTTCAAAGCCTATGAAATAATTTCTTAGCAAGAAATTACCATGTGAGATCTATATTAGAAGATTAATCTTCAGCAATCCTCACGAGATTGGAGACATTTAGACTGAAAAAGCAGAAACAAAACAAAACAAAAAAAAACACAAAAGTTGCCAACTGCGGTCAGTAGCTTTGCCTTTTGTCAGGATTTCTTCAGGTTTCCACAGCTCAATGAAGAGTAATGATCAAGTTAGGTGCCCAGTCAGGTGGATTCAATCACCTAATTTCTCCAATGGTGACGATTTAAAGATGTGTTAACTGCATTAAACAATAATGTGGAGTGCTAGTGCTGAGAGTAAGTGGAAAACTTCGTGTGTGTGTGTGTATGTGTGTACTATCTGGAGCTGTTATCCTGTGCTTAACAAAAGAGGAGAAATTTTGTTTGCCCTGATTTGAAATCTGGAATCTCTAAGATCTTTAATTAGAGCACTGAACAGCTCATTTCTACAATTTTATTAACTAAAACTTCCTACGCAAGACTTTCTAGTGGACTAGGGATTACTGAGTGGATGCCATTAAAAACACACACACAAAATTCATACTTGGATAATTTTCTATAATCTTTTTCTGACTGAGAGGAGCATGCTTATGCTGGGGAAAGCACTAAAACTTGAGTTAGATGTTAACCCTGTGAAACTGTGATTTTTGTAATGTAAGCAACCCTTATAGTGTCATATTTGAAAGCCTTTGGAAATTTTAGAAGTTAATGACAATCTTAAAGACATAATAAACTGAGAACATTGCAAGAGTTATTTGTTAATTAATTTATTTTTAAATATTTATTTATTTGAAAGGCAGAGTTACAGAGAGGCAGAGGCAGAGAGAAAGAGAGAGGTGTTTCATCCTCTGGTTCACTCCCCAGATGGCTGCAACAGCTGGAGCTGGGCCAATCTGAAGCCAGGAGCCAGGAGCTTCTTCCAGGTCTCCCACATGGGTTCAGGGGCCCAAGGACTTGGGCCATCTTCTACTGCTTTCCCAGGCCTTAGCAGAGAGCTGGATTGGAAGTGGAACAGCTGGGATTCGAACCAGTGCACATATAGGAAGCTGGCATTGAAGGTGGCAGGTTTACCCTCTGCACCATAGTGCTGTCCTGGTAGTTTATTTTCCATCAACAAATAAATATATACAGTCACTAATTGCAAAGTGCTATTTTAGGTATTTGAGCAGTAGAGAATCGATGAGTTGGACCAGATCCCTATTCATAAGGATTTTAAAATATACTCGAAAAGAAAGCATAAGGATTTGAAATATCAAAGCATGGAAGTTGAATAGTCAAAAGAGTACAAAGCACACTTTGATACACTACATGATTAATCATCAAATTAGTGTCTAGACCAGAGGTGATTACACCTGGCTGTGCCATGAGAATTACATGGAGAGATTTTAAGAAAATAATGCTTGGCCTCTATCCAGACTTCCTGAATTATATTTCCAGCCAAGGTGTGGGAAGATAATGGTATAAATTCAGAGAAGAGAGAAGAGATAGAAGGGGTGAGGCTTGGAATTTTGAATTTTATAAAGCTCACTTTGGCACAAATGAACCAGTGTTTGATAAACACTGCTGTGGGCCAGGAGGGTACCATTGGGAAAATATATTTATGCCTGTACAGGTAACATGCAGACCAAATGGGTTATGTAATATTTTCAGCAGAAACTCCTTTTTCCACACCTACTGATGCCTAGCACACTGAAATTGAGACAGTCTATGCCAGATCATGAGTGAGAGTCCATAGCAGAGTTGAAAGATTTCAAGGAGGGGGAACTTGCACTAGGCTTTACAAGAAAGATCTCTCTTGTTAAATTTAGATGAGGAAACTTGTCAGAGAAGAGGAGCAGCCTGTCTTCAAGAAAATAAAACCTGGCTTCAAGCACAGTACATTGAAGAGTTGTTTAGAAGACAGGGTTCATACAAGGGAATGTTGGACTAAAGATCCGACTTACTACTTGTGTTCCCCTGTGGGGTGTGTGTGCGTGCATGCGTATGTGTGTAAAAATGTGAATACCAAGTCTAAGACTTTACCAATTTTAATTCAATAAACTCTGTTATTTTGGTTTATTCAAGCTATATTTCAAAAGGATAGTGTCTCATTATTTTAATTATACTCTGAACATCTACACATCGATGACGCATTGTAGCTATACGTTTTTGTTTGTTTTTTCATATCCCTTCTTTAAAGAGAATTCTAGGTGTTTTGGTTGAGCTTATTCAACTCTTATACTTAATGGAGAGAAGCCAGTGTTACAATGACTTGATGTTGATGACACAGAATACTTGTGCACAATATGCCTTTGTAAAGAATGGTAGAAGAAAAAGAGTGAATTCCCAAGGTGATTATCAGTGTTACTAAGACTTAATGGTTGAAACTTAGGCACCTTGAAGCAAGTGAATATTACAGTTACCTGAGTGAGTGATTCCTAGTGAGATCAGGTTGACGCTCCTGTAGAATTTCAAAGATATTGGGTTGACGGAGAAATGCAACAATCTTGTCATTATAAGCTGAAAAATATCAGAAAAGATAACTTTTTTTAGAAAATTTGTAATTTATTTTCTGGCTATGAATCCAAACTTTTAAAAATCTGGTTTTTGGACAAATATTCCTTGTATTCAAGCTCACAGCTTAGAGCTACAGTTTAACTACTACTATATTACATTCTAATTTGTATCTAACCTATTATCTGATTATTAGAAAACATCTGGTGGAAATGGTTTATTAAGCATTTTTTAACAAAATTTTATTTATTTGAAAGTCAGATTTATAGAGAGATCTTCCATCTGCTGGTTCATTCCCCAAATGGCTACAATGGACATGGCTGGTTCAAGCAGAAGCCAGGAGCCAGGAGCTTCTTCCAGTTCTCCCATGTGGGTGGCAGGGGCCCAGATGGTTGGGTCTTCTGCTACTGCTTTCCCCAGGCCATTAGCAGGGAGCTGAATCAGAAGTGGAGCGGCTGGGACACAAACCCATGCCCACATGGGATGCCAGCATCACAGGCAGGCCGCTTTATTCACTATGCTACAATAACAGACACTACTTACATATTTTTATTAAACCCATTTGATCAGCCCCATATTTATGATATTTAGTTCACCAGGAATACTGCTGACATTGATCACTTTAAGCTTACCAGGATCAACCTTACAACAAATGGTAAGTCAGAAGTAGAAAACCATCTTCTGGTCAAACTTCTGATTGAGTATCAGCCAGACAGAGGTTATGAGTCAGAACCAGAGTTGTCAAACTATAATAGTTGCCACTGACAGCTATGACTAAAATGCAGAAGACAGAGCACTCCCAAACTCTATGTGGAAATAAATAACATTAAGCCCCAAATAGTTCTTCACCAAACCAACAATATTAACAGTCATAAGTATCATCATCATCAACCATGTACAAAATATGTTTTTAAAATAACCACTATATCATAGTCAAGTCTGGATGAAAAAATTTAAAAATAGCTAATTAAAGTTTACTAAGGACCTATTAATATTGCTCTTGTCAAGAAAATAATTTTTAAAATGATTCAGTTTGGTTATACTTATTAATAATCGGAAGGAGGCACAAATTCACAGAAAACAGATTGACCCTCAAACAAGAGAGATCCTGGTGCAGTCAACAATTTTGTTTATAACTATAACTAAGAAATATGCTTTCCTAAAAATAACAAGCAATTAAACAAAAGTATGCTTCAGTATTTATGTATCAACTCAAATTTTAGCTACATCACACTATCTATATATATTTTAATGAAATATGAAAAAGACGTTTTAATAGATACTATCTGCTAAAATGGAATCCCACTGCTAACTCAGAGTTTCTCTAAATTAACATTTCATAACACATGAATAATGGAGACACTTATGTAATTGAATTGAAGTTTATATTCTACCCAAGAGCAGAGACTTGATAAATTTTAAGCAAAAATTGTATAGTATTTTAAAATTCGACATGCAATATTTAGTATTGTGTTAATAGTGATATCATAAACCACAAACTGCTAGACTTTGACCCTAGATTTCTTCCTATCAGTAGTTGTCAAACTTCTTTATGTCATGGCCATTATACTTCAAGATAAATTTTTTTAATTAAAAAATTTAAAGCAGAAGCAAACAAATAGAGAATTTCTCTAATTTAAGCTGTAGAGAAGAACTTGTACATTCCTCTATCCACCTGTCTACCCCACCTGCCTTAGAGATTCTATAATTGAAAATCACTGATTTACTTAAACCTTATCATTTAACAAATTTTTTAAAAAGACTGAGTTATTTATTTGAAAGTCAGAGTTACAGAGAGAGAGAAAGATCTTCCATCTGCTGGTTCACTCCCCAAGTGTTTGCAATGGCCAGGGCTGAGCCAGGCCTAAGTTTAGAGCTTTATCCCACATTGGGCAGCAGGCGCCCAAACACTTAAGCACTCTTTCACCACTCTTCCCAGGCCATTAGCAGGGAGCTGGATTGGAAGTGGAATAGCCAGGACTTGAACCAGCACCAATATGGAATGCCAGTGTTGTAGGCTACAGTTTTACCTGCTATGCTACAATGCTGGTCCCAAACCTTATTATTTTAATAACTATTCAAGTTGTTTTCTACTATATGCCTGCATTGATTTATTTTTAACTTTCTTTTTTTTAGGCTCTTGATGCCTCCAATTTGCTACAAAATATCTCAAGAATGTGCTATTGAAGCAGATATTTTGTCTAGTAGATAAGACACCAATTAAGATGCCTGCATACTACACTGGAATGCCTGGGTTCAATTTCTGGCTCCTGCTCCCAATTCCAGCTTCCTGCAATGCAGACTCTGGAAGGCATAATGTGATGTTTCCAGCCTTAGTCCAACTGGGGAGTGAATTAGTAGATGAGAGTCCTATCTCCCTCTCTGATTCTCTCAAGTAAAAAAAAAAATATGCTATCATTGTTTTTTTTAATTTGCGAGGCTATTACAGATTCCCACATCATCTAAATTCTGTCTCAAACCTCAAGTATACACTTGTCCAAATGCTTACCTCACAATGATTGCAAAATAAACAGTTTTCCTCAACTTCAGCAATATAATAGTTCTCAGAAATGGCAGAATAATAATAGTTTTAAAATCTCCTCCTATAGAATTTTGCAAGACAAAGCCCTTGGAGATTTAAGTCTCCAGGATTTGCTCTAAATTTCTTAAGGATAACGAGGCAATTTCTGAATGCACATCAAAAGTAGCAGGCGGACAACAAGGAAGTATTTGCACAGTATACGTGGTTTCCTCTGACATGAAAGCACAAAAGCTTCTGGAAAGGGGTCACATACCCACTGGAACCATGTCCTGGTACTGTGGCCTGCTGACTGTATTGAATGTACTGGATGGCCTGGGAAGAACTGGTGGTCCTGCATGTCGAGAATCTTCTCCTACCTGCAAACACAAGCATCATTTATGTTCTGTGCTCAGAGCTACAGAGCTTTCTATCAGCAATCTCAACCAAATTGTTCCAAGTACTTAACAATGAGCATGGTGAAATACCAAAGGACTGGAACAGCTGCCAGCTGTGGAGCTGAAACAAGGTTCTCAGTCCTTGAAAGCCCCACTTTAGTAGCTGAACAGAGAGAAGAATGGCACAGCCATATCCTTAAAAGGAGGTGGGATAGTGGCTATTTAGCACTGAAGTAGTTCAATATGCTTATGATTACTAAGAATGCAGCAGCTAAATAGCAGACCTGTTGATCAGGAATAACTTCTGCATTGACAGAACACAACCTGCAACAATACTGTCAATGGGAAGAACTGGGTGGTACAAAATATATTGGGACAGTGCCAAGATGTTCCTTCCATTGGCCAAGGCAGGCCAGAGAATTCCCTGTCTCAGCAGAGGAGGGATGAAGAGCAGCAATCTTCCTGTGGGGTTCTGAGTTAATGTATCATCTCCTTAGAAGCAATTTTACATGCCTATTAGAGCACCTGGCACAACAGCTCTTTCTGGTTTGAGCCTCCCACAACAGGGAGCTAACAGCAGCAGGTGTGGAGGAGCTAAATTGGGTTGCCCTAACCTGAATTATTTATTGTACTTATTATAGATTTAGAAACTCATACACAAAAGCAGATAGCTAAGTATACCCATTAATAGTCTTAGTAGAAAGCTCTAACACTAGTCTAGCTTTGCCTTAGCATTTCCCCCCAAATACTAGAGGTCTTTTAAGACAACAGTAGAACAGTAGAAAAAGCAGAGAACAAAAGGAAAAATAACATAGATTGATATATTGATATTTTTAAAATAGAGCTTGTATTCCCACCCACTGAAACCTTCACAACCATTTTATCATACTACATCAGTTAGCCGTTGGCTGAGGATTTTTCTAAAGATCTAACACAAGAAATATCTTCCCCACCCTTTGCTGCTTGCTTATCCCTCAAGAATGCTCTTACCCATTCTTCAAAGCCTGGTTCAAACAGTCCCTACTCAACGAAGACTTCTCTTCCCTTTGAGATCAAGTCAAATGAATCTCCTCAGAGCTTTTGCTATGCTTGATGTGTATTTCTAAAGTAGTTGTAATTATTAACAGTTTTTATTATTTATCAATTATACTTTAGTAAAGGCAGAAAGAGAAAGAAAAAAATCTATCATTATCTAAAAGGGTAAAGACACACTTTTCCTTCTCTACTATTATAAAAGTTTATAAAGCATTTTTCACTCATGTTTATTCATTTGTATTATGATTTTACAGATTCTCTCTCAATTAAGGAAACACATGTTATTTATTTGTGCCCCCTACAACATCAACCACCATGTCGAACACACGGAGTAGGTGTTTGGTAAGCGTTAATGTGTTGTATGGGAAAGATATCAAGATTTCTACTGACCAGAGGATGGGCTGAATGAGTAGGAGATGGAGGATGGAAAGACTCAGATATACAAGTAGGAGTTTTCTCACCTTGCTTGTTTTGAGTTAGTAGCTTAGAGTCACTCTCTGGGGGGATTCAATCATTAACTACACACTATCAGTCAGTCAGAAAATTTATGACCTCAATATGCTGAGATGTACTTTCCCTCCTGTCAGTAGGCTGCCATGTGTTTTCATTTCTGAGAACAGCCAGAGGTCTTCTCGAGACCTCACTTGTGGAATCAGATTGTGGTAAGGATGTGCACACTTCCAACAGCTGCATCAGAAAAGATGTCCCTGCAAAGATTTAGCAACACCATGGCTGAACGCTGTGTCTTGAGGGAGTTATTTCTGTTCTACTGGTCAGTTAATATCAATAGGATGAGAAATCTTCACTCAAATTTTAACAGACCCCTTAGGGTCCCTCCCTCACAACAGTCTAGTGCTGGACCATGAAAACAATTCCAGTTGTAAGGTAGAAGGTTTAAAAAGCAAGTATATCTAACTATCCTATGCATGTTTCCTAGGAAAACAGTCTTGATTGGCCTGAACAGTCAGACTCATATTATGAACTCACAATAAGGGAAGTGGCTCAAGTGCACTCTCCATGTGAGAAGTCAGACAGTCATAATTATGCTACATATTGCATACAGGTCCAAAGGTTTGTTCTGCTTTTAAGACAAATGCTGCTAGCGTCATCTAGTTCACCACTAATGGTTTATATGAGAGCAAGGTAAAGATTTATTAGCTACTCATAAAACATAAATATTTTTTGTACATACCTCATCCCGCAAAAGATTTATATATCATTTTTATATGAGCTTCTCATGTATATTCTTCTGTGTCTACACTTAAAACCAGCAAGCACATGAGGCATTAGAGCAAGCATGTAAATTATGAAGGGAAATTCCAAGAGTGGAATTTTGATGAACCAAATCCAGTTATTTATTGCATTCATAATTTTTTCTTTTAACAGAAGCTATAAAAATATTGGCCCTACAATATAATATTGAAAATATGACATACACACAGATAGAAAAGGCATGCCAGAAAAGAATCTTAATTCTATTTATCTAAGGAAATTTTTAGAAACAATGTACATCAATGATGACATACACTTGAAGCATAAGCCCATATTAAAGGGGAGAAAATTTGTCCTAAAACATTCCTTCTAGTAATTTAAGCTGCTGAAGGAAAAAGTGAGATTTTTTTGGTCCTTTTGGTTAGGATATTAGAGGGCCCTCATGTGGTTACCATGGGTCACTGCAAAATGACAAAGTAGAGCACAGTAAAATTACAGTAATTCTTAGTTCAGCCAATTTTCTCCAGGCAACTCTCAGATGTATAATAATTTAAAGGAATACTAATGAGGATTCCACAATCCCACAGCCTTGGCTGAATATTTTAATGTAATCTAGCAAACCTAACTTAAAAATTTCTTCCCCATATTTAAGCAAATTTTTATCCCACTGTAACTTTCATTTCTTCGTATGGGGCTCTCCTTGGATGTGCAAAAGGGCTTATCAGCATCTTCTCTTGAACTTCCAGTCATTACTAATTCCTTCTTACTTTTCTTCAAATTAAACCAAATCTTTAATTCTACCAACCTTGCTTCATATATCCTCTCTTTTAAATGTGTAATTTAGGTTATAGGTATGTTCAGAGAAGCCCTGTCAATATCTCAGGGCTTTTCAGCCTCTGAACTACACCCTCTAAATCAAACCAGAAAAACAAAGCACATAATAAAAAGTCAAGCCAATTCCATAAACCACCATATTTTAGGCACTTACACCAACCGACAGCTCAGGCCCTAACGCATGCGACTCACCTCACCGGCACTGTGACTGCGTTGCCTTGTCAGGTGTTGCCGATGAACCAGCGCACTCGTGGGTCTGCTGCTCTGAAGTGGGAGCCGAGGGTCAATGAAAGTGGTAGTACGGGAGTTGTGGTCGACAAAAAATGCCTAGGACGAATCCACATGATTAACCGTCTCTACATGCTAAAACACATAGCTGATCTATTATATCACACATTCAGGAAAAGTTCCACTTTCTGCCAGAAATTTAGCATGCACTTTGGCTTGGGGTGGGGGGGAGGGAGGGAGAATGGTCCCATCTGCTGGTTCATTTCCCAAACGCTGGGACAGTTGGGGGTGGGCCAGGCAAAAGCCAGGAGCCAGGAACTCAATCTGGGTGTCCCATGTGGGTGGCAGCCCCCCGCCCCCGCATCACCTCTGCTTCCCAGGGTGCACATTAGCAGGAAGCAAGAAGCAGGACTTGAACCTTGAACCCAGGTACTCCAATAAGGGATGCAAGTGTACTAGCCAGTGTTCTGTTTTACCAAATGCTCACTCCAGACCCACTTTTGAGTAATAATCTTTGCTCCATGTTCTTGCCCTTGGACAATTTCCCCTTACCTTATTAGGACATATCAGAATAGAGAAAGTCATACTTAAATTGGGTTTAGAATAAAGAGAGTTAGAAGGGACATTATGGTTTTAGGAAATAGTGTTATAAGATAGTATCAAGGAAACGGTCTCAGAGAACCCCATAAAAACAGACAGTAAAGCTTCTTTTAACTGATGTTCTTGTCATCCATGATTATTTTGAAGCTCAATTAGAGCTTCGAGCATCATCAGTTTCTCTTGCTTTTTGCTTCTCTTCCTTCTCCTATGCAGTCAGCCACTAAATCCTTCCCATTTTCCCAGTGTAGTGCCCTCTGTTTGTCCTCTCCCAGTCTGAACTGCATTTGATTTGGAAGGGCTCTATCTTACACATATACATACTTGTAGTTCCTCAGTTGTTCCACGTATCTACCACCTTCATTCACTTATAGGTACCTTGCTAAAAGAAAACTCTTTCTAAACACTTCGTCACCACCCTAATCCAAAGCCCTAATGGCTACCTATCATCTACGGAAAAAACATCCCAATTCTTAGGTCAATTTTTCAAGACCCTAAAAATCCCTTTCATGCCTGGGAGGCCCAGTTAGCCGTCCTTTAGACATCTGTACAAACTCATCACATCGCATCTCCGACTTTGAATTAAGTCACTTAAGTTCTCTGAGCTAAAGATTTCTTATAAAAATACATATCCCTCATTCATAATAAATATTTCTCATCACAGTGTGCTAGGAGGGTGGAAACTATGTTGCTCATGTGTACTGCAGAACCTGGCAACATGAGATCATGAATGAGCATAAACCATCTATCCCAGTATTCCAATGAAGATGGAATATAGAAACGTTCTTCCATTTGTCTAGGTCTAAAACTCTACACCTGTGTAGAGACAAATGTTGTAAATTTTCATAGAAAATATTCACTCATGGTAATAATGAAACCCATTATCTCAAGTACATTTATAAATTCCATGTTTTCCATAATCAGATAAAGTTACTTAGGTCATCAAGAATGAAAGGGACTGTTAAGAAAACCAGGAGACTTGGTGCTGACAGAACGAGTGTCAGGGCATATGATGCATGCCAAATAACATAGGCCAAGGCAAACTGACTTTTCAGACTAATGGAGCTCAGTTTATAATGTTCCTTAGAAGACTAGGAACGGTGGCCAGCATTGCGGCACAGCAGGTTAAGCCACTGCCTGCAGGCTGGCATCCTTTACAGGAAATGGTTTGAGTCCTGGCTTTTCCACTTCTAATCGAGCTCCCTGCTAATATGCCTGAGAAATCACTGGATGATGGCCCAAGTGTTTGGGCTCCTTCCACTCACATGGGAGACTCCGATAGAGTTCCTGTCTCACAGCTTTGACCTGGCCCCATTCCAGCTGTTGCGACCATTTGGGGAGTGAATCAGCAGATGGAAGACCACCACCACCATCACCACATCCCCCTCCCTGTAACTTTGCCTTTCAAATTAAATTTATTATATTCAGTAAATAAATCTTTTTAAAAAAAACTAGGAATGAATACATCTGGGAAAATCCAGAAGCATATGGTATATACATGCCTATTAAGAAAACCATGTTCCTGTTACGAAAAAACATGTTTCTTCACACACATAATTAAAACATGGAGCAGGCCGGCACCGCGGCTCACTAGGTTAATCTGAGCACCCCGGGTTCTAGCCCCGGTTAGGGCACCGGATTCTGTCCCGGCTGCTCCTCTTCTAGTCCAGCTCTCTGCTGTGGCCCGGAGTGCAGTGGAGGATGGCCCAAGTGCTTGGGCCCTGCACCTGCATGGGAGACCAGGAGGAAGCACCTAGCTCCTGGCTTCAGATCAGCACAGTGCGCCGGCTGCAGCTCACCGGCCATAGTGGCCATTTGGGGCATGAAACAACGGAAAAAGGAAGACCTTTCTCTCTGTCTCTCTCTCTCTCTCTCACTGTCTAACTCTGCCTGTTTAAAAAAAAAAATGGAGCAAAATAATCTGTAGGTAGCTCCCAGATAGAAAAAAAACCACGACAGCTTCATAAAGAAATAAGCGTAAGGTTAAGCAACAGATGCACTAGAAAATAAAGCAGAAAAATAGGATAAGAATTTTTCCCACACCTTCCTCTTCTTTTCCAATTTCAGGTACAAAGACTCAGTGAAATGGAGGTTCTGTGTGAGATTTTTGTCATCAGCTTAGCGTCTTGGGTAATACCCCTTCTTCTCTAACCCATCAAGTGAAACATCTTTCTTTTCAAGTATTTGCATAAAGCTATACCAGCAATAAACTCCACACATACTTGTACCGACAGGCCCTGCACCCACATGCCACACGAGCTTCTACAACACTTGTCCATTATTTCTGTCACTATTCAAAAGGTCTTAGTGTAGGGATTGCTTTGCATATATGAACATGGTGACTACCTAGTTAGGTACCATAATTAATCTCTTTATGTAAATTATGCTTAACACGCTTTTTTAAATTTTTAAAATATAAACCATATTATTTAAAGCAAAAATATACGTAGTACTAAAATAGCATTGCCTATGTACCTAATTTCTTAGGAATGTTTTATAAGGCCATTAGAGTACAATGATGCACTTTTAATTAGAAGGACAAATGAGTGTCTACATTTAGGTTAATTGTGATTTGTATGTCGTGTCATAGCCTAACTTGATGTTAAGAGGCTGTCTAAAGTCTCTTCTCTGAAGAATTATATTGTAAAAGCCTTTAAGGGAAGGACAATTTCTTATTCATCCTATTATCCCCAATCGCTTTGGGGGCTGTCCCTAGGAGCAAGAGAGTGCTCAGTAAGGATTCCTGACTGAAATATAAAGAGACAACTCACCATTAACTAACCAAGTATTAGAAATTCATGTGCTTTGGGGCTGGCACTGTGGCATAGCAGGTAAAGCTGCTGCCTGCAGTGTCTGCATCCCATATGGACGCTGATTTGAGTCCCGGCTGCTCCACTTCTGATCCACCTCCCTGCTGATGTGCCTAGGAAAGCTGGGGAAAGTGGCCCAAAGTGCCTGGGCTTCTGCACCTGCATAGGGACCCAGAAGAAGATTGTGGCTCCCGGCTTTGGATCAGCCCAGCTCTGGCTATTGTGGCCATTTGCGAAGTGAACACGTGGATGGAAGATCTCTCTCTTTCTCTGCCTCTGCCTCTCTATGACTCTGCCTTTCAAATAAATAAATAAATATTTTAAAAATAAAAAAGAAATTCATGTGTTTTTACATAAGCACAGAAACACTTACAAAAAAAAAAAAAAAACAAACATGAGGGGTATGTGTGTGTGTTTTAGGTGAAAAGAGTGGAAAGCCAAAGACCCTAAGAATACAAACCAGACTAAAACCCAGTGTAGATATGAATAAACTACCAGGTTAACTATAAAAGTAGGAGGCAAACTGATGATTAAATATTTAGGAACTGGAAAAAGACGGGTCTGGTTCTGAGCTCTAGTCCTACCTACAAACTAATTAAATGTTTTAAACCTCAGTTTCTTTTCTATTAAATGAGGATGATATCCTAAGTTAAGTTAAAGGCTAAATAAGATGGTTCATATACATTTTTAACACAATGCCTGTGACTCCTCAAATGTGAGGTATAGCTTATTATTAATAATAGTTTCCAATTATAAAACATTTTTTAAGGATCACAATGTTCCTCGCTACAGCCCATAAACCAGTCTAAAAAAATAAAAGAACTAGTGAAAACTACACTTTCCAGGTTTCCATGTAGGTATGTATGGCCAAGACTAAGTTCTGGCCAATGAGACATCACACTTCTGAGAATTTCTCATTACAGAGAACAAGTTGAGACCTCCTTTTTTCTTCCTCCCTCACATACAGATGTACTAGCTGGAGCTCTGGCAGCCACATGCAGCCATGGAAATGAAGGATGGCTGAGGGGCCGGCGCTGCGGCTCACTAGGCTAATCCTCCGCCTTGCAGCGCTGGCACACCGGGTTCTAGTCCCAGTTGGGGCACAGGATTTTGTCCCGGTTGCCCCTCTTCCAGGCCAGCTCTCTGCTGTGGCCAGGGAGTGCAGTGGAGGATGGCCCAAGTCCTTGGGCCCTGCACCTGCATGGGAGACCAGGAGAAGCACCTGGCTCCTGCCTTTGGATCAGCGCGATGTGGCTGATTGGAGGGTGAACCAATGGCAAAAAGGAAGACCTTACTCTCTGTCTCTCTCTCTCTCTCTCTCTCACTGTCCACTCTGCCTGTCAAAAAAAAAAAAAGAAGGATGGCTGAGTGAAAAGTGAGAAGGAGCAAAGGGCTTTGGAAATTTGATGAACCGCCTAATAAACCCTTACTTGTTCACTTCTGAACTTCTCTATGTGAGAGAACACAATTGCGTGTTTTAGATTTTGTATGGTGTTCCATCACAGTAAGGCTAAGTTAAATCCTAACTGATAACAATGAAGTCTCTGCACTGCAGAAGAAAGAAATCTCTAAAATTTAAGCCAGAAATATGTACCACTATAAAGAAAGATTTTCATTATTTGATAATGGTATCTTTTTATTGTTCACCTTTAATGCACTGGGTTACAGTTCCCAAGCTAGGAGACATGTATG